TGTTTTTCGATAACGATGTAATTACCGAAACACTAAGCGTCTTAAACTTTTGCCTGTTAGAGAAAAATACATGTTCCTTCTTTTTCTTCACACTACAATTAATTAGATCTGCAATAGATGTTTTGTATAGAGCTTGTCTCTAACTTTATATGACACTTCAAATATGTCATGAACCTTCTTTTCTTTCATAGAAAATAGCGAAGTCAAAAGTGCAATGTTCTTTATATATATAACGGGTGGTCGCAAAGTTTTCAGACAAAATGTTGAAAGCTGAAACATATTAATAAAACCTATCGGAATAAATTCTTTTTAATCGGTTACATAGCTTATCTTATCCTCTATCTATACTATTAGTTTGAGATTTTTCGATTGAATATTTGTTGTGAAAACGATTAATCTTCATAAACGTGTTTTTTCTATGCTTGGACAAAAAAAAGATAACGAGGACGCAAAATAAAGGGCTGCACTTTGTACCTCGTATTGTTATGTCCAAATACATTTTATTAGACAAACAAAATGTACCACAAGATGCAGCATGAAAAGGTCTATAATCTACAAAATAAAACTTATATTAATTGTGTGCTTTTTCTGTTCAAAAAAAATCACAATTCCATACAACCAATTTTTAACTCTAAGAAGAAGATCATTTTTTGCTATACAAGTTATTTCTTTTCATAGCGTCGAAAATTGGTTGCGTAGAATTTCGTTTTTTTAAAAAGAAAAAGCACACAATTAAAATAAGCTTGACTTTGTAGATTATAGAGCTTTTCATGCTGCATCTTGTGGTACATTTTGTTTGTCTAATAAAATGTATTTAGACATAACAATACGAGGTACAAAGTGCAGCCCTTTATTATGCGTCCTCGTTATCTTTTTTTTGTCCAAGCATAGAAAAAAACACGTTTATGGAGATCACTCATTTTCACAACAAATGTTGAATCGAAAAATCTCAAACTAATAGTATAGATAGAGGATAAGAGAAGCTATGTAACCAATTAAAAAGAATTTATTCGGATAGGTTTTATTAATATGTTTCAGCTTTCAACATTTTGTCTGAAAACTTTTCGACCACCCGTTCGTTATATACATATATATACGTATATGATTGAATAGTAACTTTTAATATGATTGTCATGAAAAACTAAACGTATTAAATGGCAAAAATTTCCCAAAACTCCACTGAATATTAAGAAAAATACATGTTCTCTAGTTTTGTTTATGCTGAATTCAGTATCAAATTCAGTTTACTTGTTGAAATAGTGCGACTCACATTTCAGTTCTCTATAAAGGGTAAGAAGTCAGGAAAGACCAAAATATACTCGAATTTGTTTGCGTTTATCCTGTTCGTTTAGATTATATTCAAAAAAGAAAAACTATTCTCGGATGAGTTTAACTGAAAATATCTGCTTTAAAATCGTCATTCTACATTTTGTAATATAATTTCAATTTCTTCTGAATGCTAAAAGATGAAGTTATCTTTTTTATTTAACAAAGCTGATAACAGAGAAATTTTTTTCCTCAGTTTGCTACTAAAAGAGTTCTCTTTCTTTTCATAGTCTGCATACCGGCAACTCTATCACAGGCAGTGTTAGCATTAATTGTGTGTTACTTTACACGACAACATGCAAGTATCTGTCAAGCATTGTAAACGTCAAACAAAGAAATGAAATTTAAATTAGCTATATATATATTTTAATAGAGTGTCGAATCTTGTACAAAATAGATTAATTATATCCTTTTCCTCGCACATGTCAACAATAAAATGACGTTTTTTGTAATGCATCTCTCATAATTCAGCTATAGTATGATCTGAAGCTTTATGTGACTAGCAGGTGTTCAAAGAAAAATAACATATTAAAAAAAAAGCTGTCCAAATCCGTTGAGAGAAACATAATTTATTAGCCAAATACAACGAAAATCTTAATCATAGCAAAAAATTGCACTTCACACATCTCTATATCTGTACAAACTACTAATTTAACGTTATAATTGTTCGTCTATTACACTGGTGTAGCTAGAGGTACGGCCATTGGACAATTGTCCATTAGTTGAAAACTTATTACCCATATGTTTTTTTTCGAAATGATATCAATGGCCCTATGCTAAAAAATCTCGATAAACATGCATGTTCGAGGACTTAAATGGTGTTATTTCAATAAATTGTCTCTTATTGTGATTTAAGCAAGGGATCCAGAAAGATCAACACGCTATCTTTTTCATTCAGTTGATGTTCACTATGATGACAATTCAACTGTAGGTTTTTGTCAAAAACTCATCATCCCACATAAAGTCGCTAATGAAAACGTGGATGAATACTGGTGGACCTTTTCAAGCATATAAAACCTTATCTAATGAAAATAAGTGAAATAGTATACGCCAAATAGGTTGATGATAGATGGGTGACAAGGCTCTTGTCACTTTAGAATTTAAAAGTTATATAAACTAAATGGAAAATAAAAATGAAAGTGCTTTGAAAATATAATCAGAAATTCTGATTAGTGACTAAAAATAATTAATCTGTAATTTCGAGAACGTATATATAACTCAAGATCAAAACCAAACCAAAGGAAACGTTCAATTTTCGTAGGACTCGTTACCGATAAATACTCAGTAACACGTGTCATTGCTCGACAATAGAGAGCAAACTGACATTCTTCATTATCCGATGAAAGAAAGTAACTTTTGCTCTGTTTAAGTTTATTTATGCTATTTTTTGTTCTGTTCTATTTATGTTCACGGATGCTTATTTTGACATAAAATGCTGAAATATTTGACAGTTGAAGAATATATATTTGTGCAATAGTACAAAAAAAAGGAAGCAACTTTGTGTCTAAGTTGAGTTGAAGATGAAGAATTTCACTTCAATAAACATCAGTTTTTGTGATAGCAAAAAAAAAATTTAAATATCGTAGCCTAATTAATTTTTTATGGCCCATAGCTGCCCAATGCTCAAAATAATTTTGCTGGAAAATGGTCCATGACTCAAAAATTCCTGGCTACGCCCCTGGTCTATTAATTTGTATGAGATATGTGTAGTTAATTTTCTAATTCAAATTTCCGCTTTTCAACGAAAATCAAATAAATGCACTATTCATTTTAATGATTCTTAATAAATTTCTAACGAAAGTTGTTTATATCGTTAGAAAAGAAGCAATTTAATTATACTGAATCATGAATATATATATATAGCTTATCATTTATTATGACATAATTTACATATCGCAAACTCAAATATCGAAGAATTAAATATAAATATTCATATGTCATGAGCTCATCTGTCAATGTACCGTTGATAAGATTTTATATTTTTATATCTTATGTCTAATTTTATTCAACAATGTTCTGAGAGGTGTATTTTTTCCGAGTTATTATTTATTGAAATGAAAAGTACATGCAAATGCACATTCCTTCTTCCGCATGTACATTTCTTTTTTTCTTGTTATCATACAAAATAACAGATGACGCAAATTAAATGAAACAATATCATTTCTTTTCTTGTGTGTGTCTAATTTCGATACATTGTCGAAAAATTATTCGATAGAGAACTGGTAGCTCAGCAAAATTGTTTAGTCTGTTGTACAATTAAATTTTTTTTTATTGAAACAACATTAAAAATATGAACGTTTGTTGAAGCGTCCAACTGTGATTTTCTACAGATATCTATCAATTTATGTAAGTCTTTGCTCATGAAAACCAATCCAAAAATGAACATATCTGACATCGATGCATAAAGAATTTTGTACTTTTGCGCTTCTACGAAGTTTTCAAGGTTCTTCATGTTGTCATTCATGAAACAAAAGCTTGAAACAGAAGCCTACTCATTTTTTTTTGTGCATGTTGAAACCACATATTGTGACTGATAAGTTAGAGAATACAAACAATTAGATCGTATCGAATGAAAAACGAGCAAACACGAAATTCATTCAGACAATGTTTTTTTTCCTAGTTAATAATTCATGATTATTTTCGCAACTATTTCTTCTGAAATTCTGAAACACATATCAAAAGATACAGAGTTTTTTGGAAAACTTCGTAGCATGCTTGCCATCTTAGAAAACCGTTGTCTAAAAACCTCTGCATCATTTTTCTATTTTGTTGACTGTCGCAGTTGAAATGATTAAGTTTATATTAATATTTTAAGTTTTATCTTAATAAAAAAAAAAGTTTTCCCTAAAATACAAATGTAACAGTTTTGTAGAGAACACAGTTCTATACCCATTGACCTTCTGATAGTGTGTTTGGGTACCAAAAAGAAAAAGAAAATGATAATATCCTTTATAATTTGTTTTATCCCTTAAAAAGGAATGTAGACATGAGTAACAAGAACTAAATACTGTCATCATTGAAATAAATTATTTTTGTCACACTATTAATTTGTGTAAAAACCAAAGAGGCAAGAAGTCTATACTGTTTTCAAAACGGTAAGAAAAAAATTTGCATAATGGATTGTCTTGAATAGATGCTAAATATATTTTGCTCATTGAAAAATTAATAGACATATGATTCGGATGTGGGTGATAAATTTGAAGACTTAGTCATGATTTTTTATATTGTCGACCTAATAATCACAAAATGTCAAGTTTACAGAAGCAAGCATCAATCCATATCGCGTTGTAGACTAGAGACATCTTTAGATAATACTAGAGATCGATAGAAATTTCTCTCAATTGATTTCACAAATACTATCCTTTATTAATTTAAAAAAAATGAAATTATTTATTTTATTTGAACTTTTTTTAAATCTTCATTATTCCTACAAATCAAAACAAAATCTAAAGATGTCACTAAATTTCTGTTTAATTAAATCGCTGACTTTTAAATCACAGAAAGAAATTGCTTCAGAAGATATATATTTTCGGGTGAAAATATATATATATATTTATACAAATTGATAGTAAGCAACAAAAAAAAAAAATTAATCATTATTATATAAACAATGTGAGTAATATTTAACTAAACGTCATCATCTGTGCTTTTTCTTATCTAAAGTTTCTAGTTGTATGGATAAAACAGCAGTTGATAATAGTAATATAATTGAAACAAATAATGATGCATATCAATGTAAATTATATGCTATTGAACGTGGATATTGGACAGATCCATATTTAAAAATTCTTGCTGGTTCAACACATTATGAACGACGTACACCCGAAATAAGTCTTGGTTATTATGTACGGGTTCATGGACTTCGACATTTAATTGAAAAATTTATAAAATTAACAAATAATGATTGTCAAATAATAAATCTTGGTTGTGGTTTTGATACAACAATTTTTTATTTATTAGATAATGTAAATCTTCATTTTAAACATTTTATTGATATTGATTTTGATCAAATAACAGAAATAAAATCAACTAAAATTCATCGTATACCATCACTACGTAATAAATTTCCTATGGATAATAAAACATTAAAAATTCCATGTGGTTTTCATTCATCATTATATACAATATTACCTGTTGATCTTCGAAATTTAACACAATTAGATAATCAATTAAATATTCTTTCAAATAATAATATTATTAATTATAATATACCAACATTATTTATAAGTGAATGTGTTTTAATTTATATGTCAAATGAACATTCATTAAATTTATTAAAATATTTATCAGAAAAATTTTCTCAATGTTGTTTATTTTTAAATTTTGAACAAATTAATATGAATGATCGTTTTGGACAAATTATGTTTGATAATTTAAAACATCGTTCATGTTATTTAATTGGTATGGATTCATGTCAAACAATAAATAGTCAATATGATAGATATATGAAAGCAAATTTTATGTCAGCACATTGTTTAACATTAAATGAATATTATAAAAAATATTTAAATATAAATGAAAAACAACGAATTGAAAAAATTGATGGTGGTTTAGATGAAAAAGAATTATTAGAACAATTATTTGAACATTATTGTTTTTCATGGGCTTATAAAGATGAAATAAATCTTGGATTAGACAAAATAAAATTTGAATAAATATTAACAGTATTTTCGATTCTTTTTTGTTTTTTGTTTTTTAGATTAATATGAGTTTATTTAGTTTATCAAATACAAAAATTTTTGATAAATTATTTGGTAAGATTTTAGTAACAATAAAAAAAAAAAGAATATTTTTTTTTTTTCTAAATTTATTTTATTAGAAAAAGCAACAAGTCCACTTTTACTTGAACCAGATTGGGAATCTATTCTTCAACTTTGTGATATTGTTAAATCACAAGAAGTGACGTAAGAAAAATAAAAAAGTTTTGTTTGATGCAACAAAATAAAGAAATATTCATTGTTAATTTTAGAGCAAAATATGCAGTACAATCAATTAAGAAAAAATTTGGTCATGAAAATGCTCATGTAGTTTTTAGTTCACTTCTTGTAAGTGTTTCATCATCCGTTTACGTTTCATTACGAATACAAAAAAAAAAAATTTTTATTTTCAAGCTCAAATTTATATATCATTAATATTTTCAGATTCTCTTACTTCTAGTCTATAAAATTAATTTAAGCTATCAGAGATAAGTTTATTTCCTCGTCAGTTATGTTAATCTTACAAGTGAATATTCTAGTCATTTTTCGTTTTTGACGATGAATCAAAATACCCAAAAAATGGACTTATATATAAATATTCCTTGCTTACGATATCCATTCCAGCGAACTTTTACTTTTGAATTTCAATTCCAATTAATTCTAATCAGAATCGTAATCATAAATACAACTGTTGTTGAGTATCGAAATATGATAAAATTCTTTGAAAACGATGATGTCTATTTGTTTGTAAAATGAAATGAAAATGTTTCTGACATATGTGCAACAGTTGTTAATCGTCTATAAGACTAATTACAGTTTTTCTTCTAATAGTTTATGTCATTTACAATAATCAATGTGAATAAAAATTTATATATCTATATAAATCTTTCAAATATAAAATTATTTTTTTTCGAATTCGATTGTACTCTTAAAAAACATATTTCTTTTTTAGTGTCTGGAATCTATAGTAAAAAATTGTGGAGGATCAATTCATAAAGAAGCTGCACAACGAGATATGATTGATGCATTACGTGAATTGGCAAAGGTAAAATATTTTAAAAAGAAACCAAGATAATAAATTTTAAAATTTGAATTTTTTAGAATGGACCTGATCTAATTCGTGATAAAGTTCTTGAATTAATTCAATGTTGGTCATATGGTCTTGGTATATATCTAATAAATTCTTTTCAATATATATTCAAATTAATTTTTTTTTTGTTTTGTTTAAGGTCAACAACATAAGATTTTTACTGATACATATAATTTAATGAAACTTGAAAATTATCGTTTTCCACCATTAAAAGAAAGTGAAGCTATGTTTGAAAATAATGATATAGCACCTGAATGGAAAGATGATAAAGAATGTTTTCGTTGTCGACAACCATTTACGACTTTTATTCGTAAAGTAAATCTAAACCCAAAAAAAGAAAAATTGAAATTTTTTGCAAAATTTTTTTATTCATTCTTTTTATCTTTTCAGCATCATTGTCGAGCATGCGGAGATATTTTTTGTGATAAATGTAAATTTAAAAACAAAAAAAAAAGATCCTTTCGGATAAGATGATCACTCTTCATTTGAAATGTTGCGTTTACTGTATTGTAGAACAACTCGTGATATATTGAATACTATAGAGAAAATTGCTTTTTCATCAAATTTGAATGTGCTAAGAATTGACTAGCTTTTGTAATTATTGGCTTCTATGATGTATTAAATTGTCCGATACGACTCCTGAGAACAAAGGCGAACAACGTCGCAAATTTCTATAAATAAACCACTTGAATGTCTCTTGGATTCAAGTGCATCATGATAAAATTAGATAATCAATGAATACAAAAGGCTAATTTTTCGATTTCTAAAGACAGAAAAGTATAAATTTTGCGATAAATAGTTTTTGAGTAAAAAAAAGTTTCTATCTATTAACAATAAGTTCATCATGTTCTATCATTTTGATAAAGAATGATCTTTCGAACTCCCGGAAGAGATTACCGGGTGCAAAATTTTTGATTGTCATAAGGGACCGAATATATATTGAACCTAATACAGCTACATATTCGGATATTTTGAATCTAAATTCATAAGGGACAAAATAAAATAAAAACTAGTCTTTCTACTCGTTCATTTCTGTCTCTCCTCTAGAGATCTAAAAGGAAAATTTCTTTTTGCCATTTTCAGAAGATCTATTTATGCTGAATATCTAAGAAATTTGCATGGTTGATCAACTTTTCTCTGCAGTAGTAGTATCGAACAATTTAGAATATCATAAAAGCTAAAAATTATAGATGCTAGTAAAAATATTATGGTTTTAAGTAAGAAGATATCTATTGTAAGTACTGTTGGATCTACACGATCGAAAGTAATATTGATTAGTCTGGAGATATACTGATTTCTTATATTTGATCCTATCACTCACAATCATTCTAATATCTCTTAGTTAGTATTTGGCTTCTCAAAACATAAAAATTTGATAAAACAACAATTTTCTATATATCATTCGATGCTCCACGAGTTGTACTAAAAAAAAGTACGATTGTTTTTTCAAATGCTAAGTGATCATTTTATCCGACACAATTCTTTAAATTTATTTGAACAAAAATCTTCATAGGTTCATCGAAACAATGTCCAATACCCAAATTTGGTATGGATCGTGAAGTACGTGTTTGTGATGCATGTTATGAAAAATTAACATCTGGGTAAAATAAAGAAACAAAATAATTTTTCCTTTATTTATTTTATTCAATTAGAGCAACACTACATTCTAATCTAATACCAAAACCAATTCAATTATCAAGACAAATGCCAACATCTGTTCCAGCACCTACTCCCGTAAATAAAAAATTTGACAAAATCAAAACTAAAACAAATAAATTATTTTATTTAGACGAAAAGTCAAGCTGAATTAGAAGAAGAAGAATCATTTCAACTTGCTTTAGCTATTTCACAAAGTGAAGCAGAAGAAAAAGAAAGACAGAAAAAAATGTTAACACAAAAATATGCTATGTCAAGTTTTCTATCGGCTCCTACAAATAATAATATTTCGGTAATAATCAAACGACTAATAAAAGTTGTTAAGTAGAATACATAAATTGTTGATTCCGTCGGAAATATAGGCAAAGGTCCTCATATCCGGTAGGAATACTCCGAAGATTACTGGAACTGTGGCACAGTATTTCAGTTTTTTTCATGTAACTTCTGATAAAAAAAGCAAAAGTTTTTTCTCAAGCCATCGAAGATATTTCTGCCGAAATCAGCTTGTTTTTCTTAACCTGAAAATCTGTCATTGAGATTAATTGATGTTTAAAATATCCAGTTAAAAGTTTCGCTTTCAAACGTTTTATTACTTAAATTCGAATCGAAGATCCTCGTTCGAAACAAGAAAACAAATATTCTAAACTTTTGTCTAGTATTTATAATTATTATAAAATATACATTTTGTTTTTTTTTTTCGTTGAAGAATGTTTCTGAAAACCATAATGAATATTCGGAATTAACAAAATATATTGAAAAAGGTCGTCAAGAACAACAACGAGAAAAATTCAATACAACAAATATTTCCAATGGACATGATATAGAAATCAAAACTCAATTACCAGTAAGAAAAAAAAAAAACAAACAATTTTTCTATTCGAACTATTCATTTATATTTCTTCTAGGATGAATTAAATAATTTTATAACTGATAATGAAATAGATCAATTTACAACTATTGTTACTGATCATATAAATAATTTTAAATTTCGAATGTTAAGTAATCAACAACGTAGTAGAAATGTTACAACTGATACAGCTGTTCAATCTGTATTTGTTATGCTTCAACATTTTCATCCTGAACTTAATCATTATATGCAATTATTAGAAGATAAACGAAGTAAATTATAAAATAAAATTTTAAAAACAAAAATAAAATCTTTTTTTTTTTTATTGTTTATATTCGTTTAGGTTATTATGAAAATTTACAAGATAAATTAAATCAATTAAAAGATGCACGAGAAGCATTAAATGCTTTACGTGCAGAACATAATGAAAGAAAACAACAAGAAGCTTTAGAACGTGATCGACAACGACAAATACAATTAGCACAAAAACTTGATTTTATGAGACAAAAAAAACAAGTAAGATTCTCTTATTTTTATTTATTCTAACAAAAAAAAACAATCTACAACATTATATTTATTCAATAAAAAATTTTATTTAAAAACAGAAATCAATTCTTTTCGTTTTGTTTATTTTTTTGTTAATGAATAGGAATATCTTGAATATCAACGTCAATTATATCTACAACGTTTAGCACAACAAGAACTTGAAATGAAAACTCGTCTTGATCAACAACGACAATTAACATTAGCACGTGAACAACTAGCACAAAATCCTCAATTGGTAATTATATTTTATTTAATTATCTATCATTACAATAGACGAAAGAAAATTTTTGTCGTCCTATACGTGATAATATTCAGATATGTAATAAAAGAAAGACAAAAAGTCGCTAATGTACTCTATTGCAAGTTCAAGATATTCACTGATAGAAAAAATCAATTCATTCTTCACCTATATTTATTACAGTGTTTTATCCAGAGGGGTGCCCGGGGAGGGCGGCGCCCCCGAAAATCGAGTTCACCCTCCCGAGACTTATGATAATCGTGCTACGAATACATGGCTTGCCCCCCCCCCCCCCCCACAAATAATTTTTCGCCCCCTCGGAAATTCAAATCGCCTCTCCGAAGAAAAAATCCTGGATAAAACACTGATTCATTATTTCTATGGAACTTTTTTTTTCTTTCAAAGAAATCCTTTTATAATACATCAGCATTTCATTGAACTTCTTCATCATAAATAAAAAGCATTCTTTTATTTTTTATTTTTTTTCTAGTCAATGGTATCATATGATTATAGTCGATTACCTCAACAAAATCCTTCCTATCAATCACCATATAGTACTTTACCAGTACAACCATCAATTGATCCAACAAATCAATATTCAGTTGTAGCACCGCTTCCAACACAACAACAGTCTCTACCACCAACTCATTATCCTTCTATGATGATGTATCCACCACCCCAAATAGATACGAATGTATTAGCGAATGCAGCAGTGCCATTATCAGTGCAACCTATTTCTTATCCAATGGGAGCTACTGGAGGTATTTTCAGTGCATATTTGTTTTTTTGTCCTAAACTAATCTATTTTTAGATTATGACTAATATGAGAAAGTGAAAGAGAAAAATTTAATAAAAACTATCGTGCGAAAAGATTTTTGTTGAGAAACTATTTGATAAAGTAGTAAAAAAAAAATTATTTCTATTAATAGAAAAATAATATTGCAATTTGAGTCATTATTTCTACTTATTCTTATCGAAATAATTAAGTCAATAATTGTTTTATTTTACGTAGATAATAACTACACTCATCCTTATGGCCAATTGCCAATGACTAATGCGAACATATCTTATACCCAACAACAACAGCCACAGCAACAACAACAACACCCACAACAACAACAACAGCCAACTCCGATCGTTAATGAAGAAAAACCTGAACAACAATTAATAATCTTTGATTAAAGTTTTTTTTTTTCTAAATTCCTTTACTCATATTTGTGCAATTGTATTTTCTTTTTTTTTTTTACTTTTTTTTTCTTGATACTTATATTTAAAAAAAACACATTTTTTTCGTTGCATGAATAATATCCAATAAAAATGTCTTTAAAAACAATTACAGTGAAGTATCTGTCTGATTTAGATGCGGGCGTGTCTAGATTTGGTTGTATTATTAATATTGAACTTGAAGTACAAATGTGTACTCATTGCCTTTTCTTTCATTCTTTCTTTTTCTCTATTTCGATCCTTTTTTTTTCTTCTTTCCCTTGTAATGTAACAGGAACAAAAAAAAAAAATCTTTCTCTCTCGGAAGAAAAATAGTATCGAAGAAGAACAAATGATTAAATGATATCTTGTATTAAATTCATATCTTAATAAATAACTATTGGTAATGATGCATGAAGGACAGGTCATGTAGTATATGATGACTGACAATGAATTGCATAATGAATAAGGAAATTACGACAGTGTAAGACAATGCTTTTTTTTGAACGGCGATATAGCATATTATCTATCTTTCTCTCTTTTTTTTTTTTCATTCTTTCTCTCGTTTCTCTCTCTCTCTCTCCTCTTAAGAGAGAACAAGAGAACGAAAGAGATGTGAACACACATATATATATATGTATGTATTGATGTGCATATTACTGTTAGTTCGACAAAAAATTTATTATTGTTAGAGTGCATCTTCTTCACCTATTCTTCCTACTCAATTCAGTTACATACACAGACACAAAATCTGTAACGTCAATTTTTTGTGTAGAAATCTTTGAATTTTTTTTTTTAAATTTTTCTCGAATAACTTCTCTTTTTCACTATGAGCAGTTCTGTTGTTCGTCGACAAAAATTTCGAAAATCACCACCTCAACCAATTGATCGACATTTGACTGAAATCGATAATGCGGGTGGTTCGATTTATATCAATGCTGGTATTGATTCTACCTGGTACGTTTAATAAAAAAAAAAAAACAAAAACTTTTTAATTATTATCTCTTTTTAATATTTAATTAGTTGTAAAAAACGTGGAAGAACAATACATAAACTTACCAATGGTATCGTGATATCAACTCCTCAAACTCATATCGTAACAAAAAGAATCGTGAGTGGATCTGGTGATGATTTATTGTCAGAACTAAGTAACGATAGTTCAATTGATGATCGACTTGATTCGATCAATACTCAATGTTGTTCCCATTGTGGAAAATAGTATCATGCAAACCAATAAATCAACAGATAGACATTTTTGTTTTATTGTATGATTTATATTAATCTTTCTTTTTGTTTATCTTTATTGTATAGCGGATTTTCTTTTTTTCTTATTGTTCATTTTTCAGTGTGTATGCATAAAACTGCATAAGTAAACATAATGAAAATGAACAACAACATTAGAATCGTAGTCAAAACGACTGATTGTAATTTTTTTTTTGTTGTATCTTATTTGTGTCTTAATAAACTCGAAAAAAAACAAAAAAAATTTTTATTAAGATCTTTCGTAGGATTTTTTTTGTCATGGAAAAATAGCAAAGATAGAGATTATTTAAGTATCAAGACGAATACACTTTGTCCTTGTTGAGTGAGATTTATCTCGTAGTTATTCTTGATATCTTTACAAAAGAAAATATGCCAAGGTTTGAATAGGCAAACAAAATATTTAAAGAAAAAAAAAACATTTTTACGATTGTTAGAAGAGCGTAAATAATTCTATTTTGATAATAATATATGTCCTTGAAGTAAACTAGTCACAGTAATAGACAATTTCTATAGATGACAAGTAGTAAATTTATGTTAAGTAAACATTTATTTGTTTTATCTATCGAAGTTTCTAGAATGTGTTAATTGAAATTTCATTTTGAAAAATAATATAAATCAATAGATACAAAAAAAAAAAAACAATAATGAATTCTTTCGATAAATTATTACTTTTAGAGAATATTATTTCGTACGTGTAAAAAAAAAATAGATGTCACATATAGTCCTAAATAATATGATGTATATTTATTTTTCTAGATATTTTTATTTTAATTTTTTAAATAAAATTTCTTAAGATATAAATAATATCTATAGAATAATCAAATTTATTATTATAGTTTTCATTTGTTTTGATTAAATCCAATCGATATCAATGTGATTGTTTATTTGATTGTTTGTTTGTTTTTTATTTTACTCTTGGAAAAATTTGGTTGATTGATTTGCTTTTTTTCTTTTTTTATTTTCTTGATTAAAGATCCTTGAAAAAAAAAAGAAAAGTTTACTACATGATGAGTACTACACATTTAAATGAGACCAATACTAATGAAGAATATTTATGTTCACGTGAAGAACAACATCAACGTTATCCATCAACAAATTCTTCAACACCGAGTTCATCCGGTGGTGAAAAACAATTCCATTTGACAAGCAATAATAATGAACGGTTAGATTATAATTAGAATTTTATTTTTCATAAAATATAAAATTTTATTTGTTTGAAATAAATAGATCAGGACAAAATTCAAGAACGAGTTCTTTAGCTGAATCAACAACAACTTCATCAACATTAATTAATAATGAAGGTTTTTCTAATGTTGGAGAAATTATTCAACATTTACAAAGAGGTTTGTAGGAACGATTATTTTTTTATTTTTTTTCTCTTTAAAATAAATAATATAAAAATGAATTGTTAAGATACACTAAAGTTCATATTGATTATTCTTTTCAAGGTTTTCTAATATTATATTTGGCAGCAAAGTCTTTGGTAATATATATATATATATACATAAATATTTTCTAGAGTTTACCAGAAAACTTCTTTTCGCACATTGATTTTGCCTATCGTTGCACTTAGCGATTCCTTGTTTGAATAATGATTTTGTTTCTTTCGACTATCACATGAGAAGTTGTTCACGAAACTTTTTAGTTTTGATAACTTTTTTTTTTTTTTGATTTTATCAACATGTTTCTGACAACATCAAGTCTCGCGATAGTAGTGGGTGTATACCAAAAACACCCGCTGTCTACAATAATTAAAAATGATCTGTTATTATTGAGTAAAATGCATAGAAAATTATTTGTTATCATTCCTTTGAGACATTTTCAAATACACTACTTAATTTTTTGCGCAGAATCTGGATAATAGTGAACATTTTATTAAGGTCATTGTATATTCTACAATATTTCTTAATCATTTATTCACCGTCATCTGAGCTGAACAATCAATTTTGTTTGCGTGCAAAAAATATTGACCTAATAAAGTAGAGTATGCATAGAAAAAAAATGTTGACTAGAAAATTGGAACCATTAAGAATTAATATATTACTATGTTTTTATCAGGAGACTATCCTCGAAGGTCGACAAAAAACATTCCATATGTTAAGTTGTCATTGTCAAAGTGTTCATTAAAAAAAAGAAAAATGAAAATATTCTTCAAAACTTGCACGAAAAAAGTCATTATTTTATCTACGAAATGCTTTCAACAAACTATAATTTTTACAAAACGTTAAATCTAATTATGCTGATGTATAGATAGATGAAGACTGTATATAGCTGAATAGAAGAGAGAAAAACAATTTTAATTTGTACAATAAACTAAATTTAATTTTCTACCCTATGCTTTGCGCTTTGTATATTTCCTGTTTTTTTTTCCCTGCTGATTCACTCTTCACAATGACTACTAAAAGTTATTTGATATAATTAATGCCTCTACACTATAGTTGAATGTAAATTTATAAAACTTAAGCAATACAAAAGCAAAAAAAAAAAAACATCAAACACTAAAATTTTCTTTATTTTTTTTCTATTATAGTTTGGTTTGACAATAATAATCATGAAAGTTCACGTCGAACAGCAAATACTTCGACAACATCATCAACTAATCATGGAAATATAAATGAAACAGTTCCATCACATCATCCAAAAGGTCATTCTCAACAACATTACACTCATCATCAGTCTGGTCAACAACAACATAACCAATATTCTGGACCACAATATTGGAATAATTATAATAATCCTCGTCGATCTGGTAGTGGAAATTATACTCGTAATTATAGTGGAGGAAATAATGATGTTTATTGGAATCAAAAATCAAATCGATTTCCATCACATCGTTCAATGAATAATCTTATGACAAATTCAGTTAATTATCAACAACAATCTCAATCATCACCACCTACTCAACGACGTCAAGGTGAACAACAACAACAACAACAACAACAACAGCAACAACCATATTATCATAATGAACAGCAACAGCAGCAACAACCTTCACAATCATATTTTAAAAGTAAGGTTTAATATACAATAAAATCTTTCTATATGAGCACTTTCTTATACAAGACAGCCAATAGTTTACACAAGCAAATTTTATTAAGAATGCGCTTTTCAAATATGAGTACCTCGATAATATAAATAATATAATGTTTTACACTGAAAAATTTCGATAAATGTAACGAATTCGAAACTTTTGAAAGGATTCATGTAATTCGGAGATGCTTTCAAGGTTTTATAGTACACACGAAACTATTTTCAAGTATTGTATCACATAATCTTTTTTCTCATTATATAGTTTTCCTACAGAACGAAAAACAATTACATTATTTGTATCGCACTAAGGTAAACAATCATGTGTCACGTAAGAAAAAAAAGGGTGGAACGACCTTCGAAACTTAATAGAGACAAAGAACAATATTAGACAACAAAGTAAAACTGCTTATCAGGCGTATCCAAGGAATGAGAAAAGAAATTCCTCCTGTTCATTTTGCATATAGTTACATGATTATTGAAATTAAAAAACACAATATTTGTGATATTTTTTACTCTCGTATTTATATGCCTCAAGGAATTTCATGAACATAAATGTATGGATAATGAAAACTATTATAGGAAAAACATTGCTATGGCTTTTATGAATGAAGGAACGAATGATCTATCTTTGTTTCCTTAAGTAATTATTATAGTTCTGTTGAGAGATCTTCCATAATGTGGGAATTCATCTTCTTCAGTTTACTTTTGACTAGTCCTAATAGTGCTCACATTAGAGAGATTTTAATGTATATAGAAAAATTGAATTTTTATATATTTTTTCTTTTTATAAAAGAAAATCGTTCTGATCATCGTCCAAATGGATATACAATGCAACAACAATCATTAGATTATTCATCAAATACAACTACGTCTGAACAGTCGAATATAAATTCAACACAGTCATATCCGAGTAATTTAAACTCATATAACAGATAGTGTTTGTTTATATCGTACTATTAGACAAATACTTAGAAATTCTCTTTTTTTTCTTCTTTCTTTGTGTATGTATGTTGTCAAATAAAAACTTTTATTTCTATCAGAGGTCAAAAACTCTCTAAAACGATACGTCTCATTTATATATGATTTTATCGTCCTTTTTTTTCCTCCGGTAGTCATGTAGCATTTTTTTTTTCTCTTCTTTAGTTAATCGTTCTTTCGTTGTTATGTATGTATATTTACTTGTGTCTTTTTTCATTTTGTCATGTAAGTTTCATTTCCTTTTTTTTTTCTCTTGTGATGTTGTGTTATTGTATGATTATTTTATTGAAAGTTCTCTTTTTTTTTCGTTTTTTAATGATGAATTATTTCATATGAGAGAACAATTTAAGTTTTACATATTCTTTAGATTATGAATCCATTCTTTATTGGTATTGAAGGTGGGGCAACAAAAACTGAAGGCGTTTTAATTGATGAAACTGGTAAGGTTTATGTGATATTACAAGCAGGACCATCAAATCCTTGGGTAAATAAATTTATCATTTTGAATATTTATTTCAACCTTTTGTTTTTTTAAAAGGTTCTTGGATTTGAGAATGCGGCTAAATTATTAAAACAACTAATTGATGATATTCTCGCTAAAGGAGAAGTTAATTGGGATCAAATTGTTAGTGTTGTAAGTAAATTAATTACAATATAATGTTTAGAAAAGTATTCTATTGCGATAAAAGGGTATGGTTTTAAGTGGTACAGGACAAGCTGAATCTCAATCAAATTTACGACACGAACTTGAATCGCTCAATGTTGATACAAGTAAAATTTTCATTGGTGAAGATATGTTAGGACCTGTACCAAATGGTGGAGTTGTTATTATTGCTGGCACAGGTTCAAATTGTGTTGTTTATAATGCAGATGGTTCGAGTAAACGAGCAGGAGGGTAATAAAGAAATATAAGATTGTTCTATTTTTGATTTTTGATGATTGATTATT